AAATATATATATATATATATATATATATATATATATATATATATATATTTTTTTTTTTTTCTGCGTTTTGGGGGGGGGTTAATATTTTTTTTTAAGAATATATTAAACAAATTTTTAAAAGTTTTGTTAAAGACGTGTATGTATTTTTAATTATATTCTATTATTTACATTTTTTTCCCTCCCTCTCGATACGTCTAAGATTTCATTTTCTCTTTTTAACCCAACCGGCAGCACGACTACACACGCACCTTTACAAACACGCGTCGGCTGATTACATGTTGTTGTTGTTGCTATTTTTCAAGGCTAAAATTAATGGAGTCATAAATAAATTAGATTAATAATATAATTGACAAAATTGAAAAAAATAAAAACAGGATTCAAAGATTGTTTCCTTTAGTTTTATTTTTTTATTGTCTTTTTTTCTAGTTTTTTTTTTCATGTAGCTGTATGTGGTTTGTATTTAGTGTAATTTGTATATAGTGTATTGATTGGGAATTGGCGGTTAGTATTTGTCAAACGGCGGTAAAGGAACGGTGTAGCGAGGTGCAAGGCTGGTGGATAACATGACAGAGTGTGTAAAAGATAGAGAGAATACGAGAAGAGGAAGACGTTAAGAAATAAAGAGAAAAAGAAGAGGTTAACTTGAGAAAGGAAAACGAATAAAAGATAAGAAAGAAAGAACGAAAAAAAAGAAAAGATGGAAAAAATGTAAAGAAAGTAAAAAAAATTGGGAAAAAGAAAGAATTAATGAAAGAAAGAAAGAATTAATGAAAGAAAGAAAGAATTAATGAAAGAAAGAATTAATGAAAGTAAGAAAGAAAGAAAGAATTAATGAAAGAAAGAATTAATGAAAGAAAGAAAGAATTAATGAAAGAATTAAAGAAAGAATTAATGAAAGAATTATTGAAAGAATTAAAGAAAGAAATAAAGAAAGAAAGAAAGAAAGAAAGAATTAATGAAAGGGAAAAACAGAGAAAAAAAGTAAATGGACAAAAGAAAAAATGGAAGAAGAAAAGAACATGGGGAAAAAGGCAAAGAAAGGAAGAAATAGAAGAAAGAAATGGGGAAAACCAAAGAAAGACAGATAAGAAAGGAAGCGAAGAAAGAATGTAAAAATGACAAAGAAAGAGAAGAATGGAAGCGAAGAAATAATTGAAAAAAATGGAAAAAGAAAGAAAACAAGATAGCAAGAAACAAAGAAAAGATTGGAGAAATGACAAAGGAAGAAAAAACAGAAGAAAGAGTGGGAAAAACAAAGAAGGAAAGGAAGGAATCGAGAAAAGAATAGAAGAAATTCAAAGACAGAAATGTACAGAAGATAATTGGAAATAAATCAGAGAGAGAAATGATTCCACAGAAGAAAGAATGAGAAAAAGACAAAGAAAGGAAGGAAAAGAAGAAAGAAAAAAAATAATGAAAGAAATAACAAACTGAATACAAACGACAAATAAATCTTTGAGAACAGCCGAAAAAATTGGAAAAAATTCATAAAAAAGAAGAATTCACTAAATACATGTGTGTGTGCGTGCGCGCGCGCGCGCGCAAAGCAACAGGCATGGAAGTTTAGTAGGTAAGAAAGAAACAACAAAGACGACAGAAAATATTTAAGAAGGTTAGAAAGTTCCAAGAGAAGGAAAGAAGCAAATGGAAAAGAAAATAGGGGAAAATGTTCGCGATGAACACGAAAACAAGAGAGAATGAAAAATAGAGACTAATAAGAAATTGTAATGTGGAATTGAAAAAGAAAAATGATTAAAAATCAAATCTAAATTATAGTTAAAGAAAGAAAGAAAGAAAGAAAGAAAGAAAAGTGACAGAAGAAGGGAGGAATAATAGAATACAAAACCATTAACTGTAGAAAGTAAACATTTAGAAAGAAAGAAAGAAAGAAAGAAAGAAAGAAAGAAAGAAAGAAAGAAAGAAAGAAAGGACCATTACGAAGCGGTGGAAAGTGAAATTCTTAAAAGAAAGAAAGAAAGAAAGAAAGAATGCGGACCATTACGAAGCGGTAGAAAGTGAAATTCTTAAAAGAAAGAAAGAATGAAAGAATGAAAGAAAGAAAGAAAGAAAGAAAGAAAGAAAGAAAGAAAGAAAGAAAGAATGGGGACCATTACGAAGCGGTAGAAAGTGAAATTCTTAAACGAAAGAAAGAAAGAAAGAAAGAAAGAAAGAAAGAAAGAAAGAAAGAAAGAAATAATGGGGACCATTACGAAGCGGTAGAAAGTGAAATTCTTAAAAGAAAGAAAGAAAGAGGAAGAATAAAAGAATAGGAGAAACGAAGCGACAGAAAGTGAAATTTTAAAAAGAAAGGAAACGGAAAGAAAGAAACAAAGAAAGAAAAGAAAGAAAGAAAGAAAGAAAGAGGAAGAAAAAAAGGAGACCATTACAAAGCGATATATAGAGAAGTTTTCGAAAGAAAGAGGAAGAAAAAAAGGAGACAATTACAAACCGATATATAGTGAAGTTTTCAAAAGAAAGAAAGAAAGAAAGAAAGAAAGAAAAAAAAGGAGACCATTACAAAGCGATATACAGTGAAGTTTTCAAAAAAAAGAAAGAAAGAAAGAAAGAAAGAGGAATAAAAAAAGGAGACCATTACAAAGCGATATATAGTGAAGTTTTCAAAAGAAAGAAAGAAAGAAAGAAAGATGAAGAAAAAAAGGAGACCATTACAAAGCGATATATAATGATGTTTTCAAAAGAAAGAAAGAAAAGAGAGAGAGAAAGGCAAGTGAATGAAGAAGTAAAAATAAAGAAAACAGGCAGAATAAAAGAACGGAATGGAAAGAAAATAAGATAGAATCAAAGTGTGAATGACAATTAGCGAGAGAAAGTATGATCAAGATAAAGAAATGAGTGCCTTACAAAAAAAATAAAAGCAAACTGAAAAAAAGGGTCAGAAAGAGAGAATCAATCGGGGGGGGGGAATAAGACAGAAGATTAGAAGGAATTACTCGGGGAGGAGGGATGGTGAAATGAATAAAGAAGGAAGCCAAGCGACTAACACAGTAAAAATAAAATTAAAACAAAACATAGAAATGAAAATGCAAGGAACAGACGGATAAAATGAAATCAAACACAGAAAGTTAAATTATAAACACTGTTCCTGCGTATGTACGAATAAGGAATTGCTTCTTTTTTTTTTTACTCCCATTTTTCGTCTCATTCTCTATCACACACAGAGGATTACATGAAAAAGAGGTCAAAAGACAAGTGGAAAAAGAAAGAATGTTAAAAATGAAGTGCTTGAAAAATAAAATGAAGAAATACCTGAAGAAAAATGGCGGGATAATAGTGAGAAAACATTTTTACGATAATAAAGATAAATGAAATTTTAAAGAAATATGGAACATATATTCGATAAATAAAATTAAACAACCGGGGGAAAGAAGGAAGCATTGGATTCCAAAGACAAAAGAAGAAAAGGGGACATTGATTAAAAGAGAACCTGGATTTAAAAATAAATAAATAAAAGGAAAGAAGGAAAAATGTGAAAATGCAGGAATTTAGAAAAAAAAAACCAATAAAAAGAATATATATATATATATATATATATATATATATATATATATATATATATATAATAACATAACAAATAAGAGCGATATAAAGGGCGTTGTAAATGAAGCGGTTTTCCGGGGGGAGGACAACGCCATGGAAAAGACTGATTGAAATGATGAAAAATTCAATGAAAATGATGAAAACTGGAGAAGGAAAAGCTATAAAGAAAGAGATGGAAGAATTTTGAGAAACGAAATCTATGAAAATAAAAATCACTGGAAAAAATCAGAAGAATGAATGAAATCGGAAACGAATACAGAAGGGGGAAAAATGAGTATTGAAAAATGAATGAGAAGAAAATTAGAAAGAAATCGAGTAAGAATAAAATGTAAATAAAAACAATATATGTCAATAATAAGAACATGTAGAAAAGAAAAAAAAAGAAAGAGAAGATAAGGTAACAAACAAAAGAATGATATAGATAAAAGAAAGGCGGGGGGGAGTAAGTAAATAGTGGAGGAAGAAGAATACATGAAACCAAAGAAAAGAAAACGAAGAACGACAAAAACTAGAAATAATAAATGAAGATTAAAAACAATAAAAAACAACATAAAAATATTTTTTTAAAAAGACAATGATGAAAGAAGATGAAGACGAAAAGTAGAAAGAGAAAAAGAAAGAAAACAAGAACATAAGAGGCGTGAAAAGAAAAAAGAAACGAAAGTGAAGAAAAAGAAAAGGAAAATGACATTAACAAAAAATAAAGAAAATTAAAACAGAGAGAGTTTAGAGATGTACAAAGAAAAGAAAAAGGGTAGAAAAAGTCGAATGAGAAGAAGAAATAGGATGATTTTACTAATAAAATATATATATATATTTTTTTTACTCAAAACGGATCCGTTAGCCGGTTCAGAGATAGGAGCATTGGTCGAAATAATACCGAAGAACGCGGGCGCGCCCGCGTGTGTGCGTGAAAGAGAGAAATTAGAAGCGAAAGTGAAAATGAAAGTGAAAGTGAAAGAGCGATCGGACACGCGCTACACCAGATTTCTTTCTTCTTCACTGTATAACGCTGCCTCGGTCCTGCTTCAGGTTTCGCAGGTCGCTGTTTCTGGACACGAGTGGACGAGCTTCTTGGACAGTAGATGGACGAACAGACAGAAGAATGAAGGGATGAAATAAAAGCAGAGGTGGACGAAGGATGAAAAAAAAAAAAAAGAGGAAAACTATAGAGAATCGAAAGTGAAACTCGAACCAGAAAGGAAAAGGAAGCAGTTGAGTGTACTTAAAGGTGTAGGGTGAGGGGATAAGAATAAAAAGAAGCGGGCAGAGGCTATGGTACAACATAGTAGCAGTAAGGGTAAAGGTCGTTGTGGCTTTAACGTAGTAGCAGCGGTAGTAGTAGTAGTAGTAGAAGAAGCAGAGATATGTTGTATTAGTTATCGTGAGCAAGACTTTGAGCCTTCGCTCAAGTAAGAAAAAGATAGGATTGAGTAAGAATAATGAGTATAAACTCAAATCAGGAAAGAAAAAGGTGTACACATACATAATGTGAGGGAGGGGGGTTCTGCCGATCTAGAAAATAATCATGCATTAGATAACGTAAAGAAAAATAGTACGAGTAACAGTTCTTTATTAGGAAAGTAGTGAGAGAGAGAGAGAGAGTATAAAGGATTCAAAGAGAGAAGTAATGATGTTTTGTATAAGAGATAAACCTATCTATCTATCTATCTATCTATCTATCTATCTATCTAACCTGTTTATATCTATCCCTTTCTCTCCCCCTCTCTCCCTATCTATCTATCTTTCTATCCTGTTCATATCTATCTCATTTTCTTTCTTTCTTTCTTTGTTTCTTTCTATCTATCTATCTATCTATCTATCAGCCTGTTCATAGCTATCTATCTGTCCGTATGTCTGTCTATCTATCATCTCTGTTCATATCTATCTATGTACCAATCGCAATCACTCCATTTCAAATAACTATTTTTATCGGTTTGTATATAGATTCATTGTCAAAATGATTATCTATCTCAATGTTTTATATCTATCTATCTATCTATCTATCTATCTATCTATCTATCTATTCTGGTGCCAAAAGTAGTTGAGTATTTTTGATTAGCGGCGGTCGTCCATGTTCAGGTAAAATAAATAATGCAGGCAATTTTCATATCTATCTATCTATCTATCTATCTATCTATCTATCTATCTATCTATCCTAGTTTTTTTTCTCCCAGATATTTATCCGAGGAATACAAAACAGATTAAATGAGAAGAGTGTAGAGTGGGAAATGCGAGTGAAGCAAGGAATCCTGGAATTTCTGAGAATGAGGAAGGTGACATGAAATTAAATCGAAACTAACTCTTCAAAGATGAGAGTCAAACTGAAATTACGAGTTCGATTTTGCGCCAGGACAGAGCAAAGCTTTCATTGCTATAAATATAGGAATGCTGAAATAACAAGGTATCTATCTATCTATCTATCTATCTGTGAGCATTTGATAGGATGTGGTAAAATCTATTTTAATATGTTATTTACATCCGAAACTTGTTTCAGATGAACAATACATTTCTCTCAATCCCTTAATAAGTCCCACTATCTATCTATCTATCTATCTATCTGTTAAAGATTTTCCTTATCAATCTATGTTTGTATATGTATATCGATATCATAATATATTCCTGTGTGTGTGCGTGTGTGTGTTTAAGCGGGTTTGTATCTATCTATGTCGATACAATATATCTCATTTATGAATATTTGCACTTGCTCACATGTCAGTTTGTTATATCTGTAAGGAAACAACCAAAGAAATTCAGGACATAACGAAGAATAATGAAATGGAAAAAATTTGGAAGATAGTCTAAAAAGTAGTCTTAAATAGATAGATAGATAGATAGATAGATAGATTAGAAGAGCAGACTAATAAGAAAGAAAGAAAGAAAAAGAAAGAAAAAGAAAGAAAAAGAAAGATAAAGAAAGAAAGAAAGAAAGAAATGAAAAGGGATCCTTAGGAAGGATAATAGATAGATAGATAGATAAGAAACTGACTGAGAAAGAAAGATTTAGATAGATAGATAGATAGATAGATAGATGAATATCAGACTGAGAAAGAAAGAAAAAAGAAAGGAAAGAAAATGATAGACAATGAATAGATAGAAAGAAAGAAAAAAGAAAGGAAATGAGCAGACTGATAGATAGATAGATAACGAACAGACTGAGAAAGAAAGAAAAAAGAAAGGAAATGAGCAGACTGATAGATAGATAGATAACGAATAGACTGAGAAAGAAAGAAAAAAGAAAGGAAATGAGCAGATTGATAGATAGATAGATAGATAGATAGATAGATAACGAATAGACTGAGAAAGAAAGAAAAAAAAAAAGAAAGATAAATGAGCAGATAGATAGATAGATAGATAGATAACGAATAGACTGAAAGAAAGAAAAGAAAAAAAAAAAATGATAGAAAGAAATGATAGATAGATAGATAAGATGATAGAAAGAAAGAAAGTAGAAAGAAAAAAAGAAATAATTGATAGATAGATAGATAGACGAACAGATAGATAAGAAAGAAAAAAAAAAAGAAAAAGAAAGAAAGATAGATAGATAGCAGATAGATAGATAGATAGATAGATAGAAAGATAGATAGATAGATAGAGACTAACGAATAGATAGAGATAAAGGTAGAAAGAAAGAAAAAGAAAGGAAAATGAAAAGACTGAAAGAAAGAAAGATTGAAGGAAGGAAATGAGCAGACTGATAGATAGATAGATTGATAGATCATAGTTTTGAGAAAGAATTAAACTGAAAAGAGAAAGAAAGAAAGATAAAGAAAGAAATGGGAAAGAAAGGAAATGAGAGAGATAGGATAATGAATAGACTGAGAAAGAAAGAAAAAAAGATAGATGAGCAGATAGATAGAAGATAGAACAGAAAGGAAAAGAAAGAAAAAAGAAAGAAAGCAAAACTGAAATAAATAGAGAAATAGACTGAAAGAAAGAAAAGATTGAAATGAAAGACTGATAGATAGATAGATAGATAGATAGATAGATAGATAGATAAATAACAGATGAGAAAATAGATAAAAAAAAAAAAGGAAAGATGGAGAAAGAAAGAAAAGAAAGGAAATATGAAAATACTGATAGAAATAGATAGATAGATAGATAGATAGATAGATAACGAACAGACTGGAAAGAAAGAAAAAGAAAAAGAAAGGAAAGAAAGAAAGATAGATAGATAGAAGATGATTGATAGACTGATAGATGAGAAAGATAGAAAAAAGAAAGGAAATTTAACAGACTGATAACAGATCCAGATAGAAAAAGAAATAAGAAAGGAAGATGAGAAAGACTGACTAGAAAGAGAAAGGAAATATAGACTGATAGATAGATAGATAGATAGATAGATAGATAACGAACAGACTGAGAAAGAAAGAAAAAAGAAAGGAAATGAGCAGACTGATAGATAGATAGATAGATAGATAGATAGATAGATAGAACAGATGAGATAGATTGTACAGACTGAAATTAAAATAGATTAGATATAGAAGATAACAGAGCTTTCAAACTGGGTATGTGTCAGAAAGAAAGTCTGACGAGAGGACGAAGAAGATATATGTAAGATGGTTTAGGAGAAGTCTCGTTAGTGAATTTAAAGTTTAAAGTTTCAGAGGGTTTTTTTTATATGAGGTGCAAAGGAAAGAAAACGAATAAGGAACAAATTTGAAAAGTAGAATTTAAAAACAAAGACTAAAATGGAAGAAAAAAGGATGCAATGAAAGAAAGAGATATCCATAGATGAATAAGACTGGTCCATTGGTAGAACGATGTTAGCGCACATTCACTGGTCGAGTCCATGTAAATAAATGCCATTTGGCCCTAGCAGGGTTCGGATGCTGGTGGGGATATCAGTGTTAGACGCTGCAAATAAACAGGAAACGCACAAGAAAAAAAAATTTGGCCCAAGGAAGAGTGGGCTGAAAATTTGAAAAATGCCAGCATAGAAAAGTGAGGAATGTGTGTGAAACGGTCACTGACGAAAAAAAAAAAAAAGAAAAGAAAAACAACTGGACGTTGTCCATCTCTCAATCTATCTCAGTCTGTAAATCGATTGGGTTATCTTTCTCTATTTATATGCATGTATGAATATCTTTCTCTAAACCAGAATGTACGTATGAATCGGTCTATTTTTTTGTCTAGGTCTGTTAATATTTGTTTAAGTTTCTTCATATCTATCTATCTATCTATCTATCTATCTGCTAGTTTTCTTTCTTTGTTTCTTTCTTCTTTGTATGTTTATTATTTATCTATCTGCTTGTTTGTTTTTTTTTTTTTTTCATTTTATCTGTTAATCAGTCTGTCAATATTTTCTTTTTTTTTTTCATTAGTCTGTTCGTTTTTCTATCTATTAATCTAGAAAATCTATCAGTCTGTTTCATTTTTTTTTTTCATTTCTTTTCTTTCAGTCGATACGTTATCTATCAGTAATTTTCATTATTTTCTTTATTTTTTTTCTGATTTTTTTTTATCAATCTGTTCATATTATTATATATGAATATCTATCTATCTATCTATATATATATATATATATATATATATATATATATATATATATATATATATATGCACGTTTTTTTCCTTTCTCAGCTTATTATAATATTAATTCAATCTATTATATTATCTATCTATATCTGTTTGTTCGTTTCTTTTCCTTCTATTCTTGTTATCTATAATATCTATAAAATCTATCTATCATATCAGTTTACCTGTTTTCTCCTTATTATTTCTTTCTTTTTCTATTTCAGCCTGTTCATTATGTATCTATATGCTCTCTTGTATTTAAGTTCTATCTATCTATATAAGTTTAATTCTTTCGATCTCTTTGTCGAACTATTTAAATTTCTGTTCATCTATCTATCTATCTATCTATCTATCTATCTATTAAAGATTTCCTTTATCAATCTATGATTGTATGTAAATTCCGATAACATAATCTATTCACATACACATGCATACATAAATATGTATATGTGTGTGGCTGTGTGCTCACGCGTATATATTTGTGTTTAAACGCGTCTGAGTCTATAAAACAAACTTTATGATCTATGTCGGTGCAATATTGCTTATTTTTGCATATATCTTCACTTGTTCACATCTATATCATAATGTATGTCTCGCCACACACACACACACATATATATATGCATATATATATATCTTATTTTGTGTTTGTAATGATGTCTGTAAATATATATATATGATATTGATCTCAAAATTCTTTAAATCTATATATATATATATATATATATATATATATATATATATATATATATATATATATAGTTTAGATAGATAGATAGATAGACAGATAGATATTAAAAAGTCTGTGGCCAAATGACAGCGTACGCATTTGTTTCACACACGATAAATATATTTTCTACATAATTATGTTTCTTGCTAATGCACTTAACCCAATGTTTTTTTTTTGTTTTCGCGTTAATCAGAT